AGAGTTGAGTGTGTGTATATATATATATATATATATATATATATATATATATATATATATATATATATATGTATATGCCAGCTAATTTTGGATGCTTAATTTTACTCACTCATTTCATCTATTTTTTATATTTTAAATATCAAAATGAATATCTGTTCTTCTTACTGTACAGTATAATGTTGTGATGCCTAGATTCATATAGCATTTAAAACATTTGATTTTATTATATCATTATTGTTTTATGAAGTCATGTAGAATCATGCAGAATTTTAAATAGCTATTTAATAATATTTATTTTGTAAGAAATTCATACTTTTATTTAGCAATAATGCATTAAATTGATCAAAAATGATGTTGAAAAAAATATCATGGATTAAAAGCAAGGTTTCTTAAGCACCGACATCACAATATTCAAATGATTTCTGAAGGATCATATGATACTGAAGACTGGAATAATGTCTGCTGAAGAATCAGCTTTGCCATCACAAAAATAAATTACATTTTAAAATGTAATAAAAATAAGTTATTTTAATTTGTAATAATATTTCACAGTATTTACTTTTACTGTATTTCTGCAAAATATGCAGCTTTGGTGAACATGAGACTTATTTAAAAAAAATAAATAAATCTGTCACATTTTATTTTATGGTCCAATTCTCACTATTAACAAACCATTAACTACGATTTTTGCCTCAATACACTCCTAATTTGCTGCTTATTAATAGTTAGTAAGGTAGTTGTTAAGTTTAGATATTGGGTAGAATTAGGGATGTAGAATATGGTCATGCAGAATATGTGCTTTATAAGTACTAATAACCAGCCAATATGTTAATAATAGGCATGCTAATAACCACAAATTCAAGACAAAGGGTCAAAAATTGCCCCTGCACAATTAAACAATCGATTATGGCTTTCGCATTTAAAATGAAACTTGAAAATTAATGAAAAGTGTCTATTCGTGTAATTACATTTTGAATCACCCCCACGTCATCAAATGGTTTTTTTACGCAAATTTTTTTTTTTTTTTTTTTCTTCAGTGTTGAGCCCTATAACCAATCACACACGTTTCCGTTGAGCTTAAGAATGCAATGGCCAATCAGAGACGCTTAGATTAGTCTGAAACCGCACCAAACAGAGGCATTCAGATTAGTCAGCGCTGAAAACTCCAGAGTTGTTGAGTGTGTGCGCTTACTGATTGAATTCCCTCTCATGAATTTCCTCATCATAAACAACACAGGGCAGATACAATGTAAATAAAAGATTAATTTCGTAGCTTTTCTGTGATTTTTGCATAACTTGCGCTAGACAAGACTATCGTCATGGACTAACATGTTTGTCTGTGAATCCAAAGCCAGAATATATATGATGAGCCATTTCTCCAAAACGCAGACACAAAACACAATTAATATAATATATTAATAATCATTATTATAATATCAAGAGCAATAATCAGCAATAACGATTTTTGTCATAATACTGCAGCCCTATTAGCTCCTGTTTTTAAACGTATAATTTAGATACATTTTTTTTAATTTCTTAAATTAAATTAAAATTAAACAGTTCATTGTAATTGGCAACAGTTTAAAGTATTTTGATTAATTTAAGTAATTGGTTAAATGTACGTATTTGACATTAAAGACAACACAAATACAGTTATTAAGGTGGTGATAAAAATTCCAGGGGGCAAAAAATGCCCCTTAATGGAAAAGTTAATTTCTGACCTTGTTGTAAATACTATATACACTCACCGGCCACTTTATTAGGTACACCTGTTCAATTGCTTGGTAACACAAATTGCTAATCAGCCAATCACATGGCAGCAACTCAATGCATTTAGGCATCTAGATGTGGTGAAGACGACTTGCTGAAGTTCAAACCGAGCATCAGAATGGGGAAGAAAGGGGATTTAAGTGACTTTGAACGTGGAATGGTTGTTGGTGCCAGACGGGCTGGTCTGAGTATTTCAAAAACTGCTGATCTACTGGGATTTTCACGCACAACCATCTCTAGGGTTTACAGAGAATGGTCTGAAAAAGAGAAAATATCCAGTGAGCGGCAGTTGTGTGGACGAAAATGCCTTGTTGATGTCAGAGGTCAAAGGAGAATGGGCAGACTGGTAAGAGATGATAGAAAGGCAACAGTAACTCAAATAACCACTCGTTACAACCAAGGTATGCAGAATACCATCTCTGAACGCACAACACGTCGAACCCTGAAGCAGATGGGCTACAGCAGCAGAAGACCACACCGGGTGCCGCTCCTGTCAGCTAAGAACAGGAAACAGAGGCTACAATTCGCACAGGCTCACCAAAATTGGACAATAGAAGATTGGAAAAACGTTGCCTGGTCTGATGAGTCTCGATTTCTGCTGCGACATTCAGATGGTAGGGTCAGAATTTGGCGTAAAGAACATGAAAGCATGGATCCATCCTGCCTTGTCTCAACGGTTCAGGCTGGTGGTGGTGGTGTAATGGTGTGGGGGATATTTTCTTGGCACACTTTGGGCCCCTTCGTACCAATTGAGCATCGTTTAAACGCCACAGCCTACCTGAGTATTGTTGCTGACCATGTCCATCCCTTTATGACTACAGTGTACCCATCTTCTGATGGCTACTTCCAGCAGGATAATGCACCATGTCACAAAGCTCAAATCATCTCAGACTGGTTTCTTGAACATGACAATGAGTTCACTTTACTCAAATGGCCTCCACAGTCACCAGATCTCAATCCAATAGAGCACCTTTGGGATGTGGTGGAACGGGAGATTCGCATCATGGATGTGAAGCCGACAAATCTGCAGCAACTGCGTGATGCTATCATGTCAACATGGACTTAATAGTTAGTAAGGTAGTTGTTAAGTTTAGATATTGGGTAGAATTATGGATGTAGAATATGGTCATGCAGAATATGTGCTTTATAAGTACTAATAACCAGCCAATATGTTAATAATAGGCATGCTAATAAGCAACTAGTTAATAGTGAGAATTGGTCCCTATACTAAAGTGTTACCAAAAAATCTTACTGACTCCAAACATTTAAACAGTAGCGTGTTTCTATATCTGACATGCAGTCCAACCTCATTGTTTGCTATTGGTTACCTACTCATAGCTTCCTCTTCCTCTGTATTCTGCAGTCAGGTCTGATCCGGTTCTCCAGCGAGGAACTTCTCATCACTCCGCTACCGCAGCATTTGGCTTTACAACACAACTACAGCGCCCCCTCTGGACATCACCCACATGTCATCTACAAGCGATCAGCTGAGCGCAGAGTGTACGCTGATAAGACTGCCTGGTTCAGCAGTGTTAAATCAAACAACCCATATGAGAACCACCACCACCACCACCGTCACCATGACTCCCAGCATGGAAAGCTCCAGAGACAACATTTCTGCGGACGCCGCAAGCAATGTATGTAAGGGAATTTACTTTTAGCCATTTGTAGATGGAAAGTTCATTACACGCCATATACTTGTAGAATTTGTCAGTATGTGTATAAGAGTAAAGCCCTCTGAGATATTTATACTGATTCCGACAGCTAAACTGCCATGTCATTACTATCTGTTGTACTGAAAGAAATTGAATGAAAGCTTGGAAACAGCATGTGAAGTTAATGACTGTGTATTTCCTGGTCTGTCATCGCCTCTCTGGCGCTTTAATCAGGGAGCTAGCTTGGAAAGGGAAAAGCAGTTATTTTGTGGCAATTTCCAGTTTCTTTTTCATGACTTTCCGTACTTTTACCTCTCCACCTCTTCCTAACTACAGATACTCCCAAGCCTCCTACAGAGGAGCATTTTGTCATGCCTGATGAGTTTGAGCAGCAAAGCCGGGTGAAGCGCTCAGAGATTACATCAAGCAAAGAGGGTGGCCTGAACGTGGAAACTCTGGTGGTGGCAGACAGGAAGATGCTGGAGAAACATGGCAGAGACAACGTCACTACCTATGTCCTTACTGTCATGAACATGGTGAGCAGAGCTATCAGCAGCATTGTTGTTGAGAAGACACTTTGTTTCAGCATGTAACTCTTTACTTCTACCTTTACTTTTACCTATAGTAATGTGCACAGTGTTGTTGTGCTAAACAGGTCTCCAGTCTGTTCAAAGATGGAACTATTGGAAATGATATCAACATTGTTGTGGTCAGCCTCCTCCTACTTGAAAAAGATCCAGTAAGATACACACAAAAAAATACACACATACTTTCATATACTGTATATATATATATATATAACTGTCTCTTTTATGTGTCTGTATATGTAATCGGTCATGTTACTGACACAAAACTTAAATGATACAGACATCACTGAAAATAACATGAGCTGTTGATTCTGTAACCGCTCTGATGATTCAAACCAGTAACTCATCTTTTTGAACTATTCACTAAATAGAAATGGCTCACTAGAGTAATTCGATTTTGAATCGGACTACACTTGTCATGCTGGTTGTTTTTTAAATCACTAAAAACAACCAACTCATAAGAGTCATTTGTTTGTGAATAAATTGGTCATGCTGTATGTTTTTGATTCACTGCAAAAAACAGGCACAAAAGAGTAATTTGTTTGGGAATCAGAATATACAAATCACTGCATTCAGGTGCAAAGAATTGACTCATCAGAGTCATTCATTCAGGAATCAGACATGTTGTATGCTGACATTTCTTGGCATTATTTAGCAGTACAGTCTTTTAATTGCTTCACATTCAGGAGTATGTTCACTATAGCTAGTTTACTCTCATTAACGGTAAATGTAATATGTTCTATTTGATTTTCAGAAGAATCACAGTCTTTTTTTTTCTATTTCTTTCATACTTCAAAGATGCCAGATCATTCACTACTCTCTCTTCTCTCTCTCTCAACACCCCTCTGAAAACTTCATCTCTCTCGGTTTTACTGCTGCCAGCTGGGTCTGTCAGTCAACCACCACGCAGACCAATCACTCAACAACTTCTGCCAGTGGCAATCAGGACTGATTGGTAAAAACGGCAAGCGGCACGACCATGCCATACTGTTGACGGGGCTGGACATCTGCTCCTGGAAGAACGAACCATGTGACACCTTGGGTAAGGCACTTGACATTCACCTTCCAATAGCAGAAGTGGGTCATGTGTTGTGAAGTCAGTGGCTAATCGAGTTGCAGGAGGGTGAATTACACAATGCCAAGGTTAAAAAGAGCTTGTGGTTGGTGATGTGTGTCCTAGTCCGCCCTCAGGCAGAGAATTTCACCTGAATGAATCCAAGAAAGCTCAAATCCACTTTGCAGTCTGTTGGCAGCTTCTTCAGTATTTGCTGTAGAGGCGTCAGCCAAATGTAATGAATTCAGGTCTAAAGCTCCAAACCACAAGTATGCACTTCTTTGAATGTATGGCAAAGGAGAATGCACTGCTTTTAAATTGCCTCTCTATGATGTGAAACTCAAACCAAAGTTGAGGAAAAATAGCCTAAAAGTGTGTTTATGCGTAATGGGATCCTGTTTCAAAGTCTGTAGGTTTGAAAACATTGTGGTGTGTTTAGTGAAACTTAAATCATGTATTAAAGGGATAGTTCACCCAAAAATGAAAATTACCCCATGATTTACTCACCCTCAAGCCATCCTAGGTGTATACGACATTCTTCTTTCAGACGAATACAGTCGGAGTTATATTAAATAATGTCCAGGCTAATCCATGCTTTATAATGGGAGTGGATGGTAGCCCAACATTTGAAGTCCAAAAAATTGCAGCCATCCATTATAAAAGAAGTCCACACGGCTCCGGGGGGTTAATAAAGGCCTTCTGAAGCGACGAGATGCGTTTGTGTAAGAAAAATATCCATATTTAAAACTTTCTATATCTTAATCTCTAGCTTCCGCTAAGTGTCGTATGCATGTTCACAAGAGAGTGGCATCCAGCAGATGACGTAGGACGTAGGCGTAGCATAAGCTCCGGTGAGAATATGCTAGTCTCGCGAGAAAAAAGTTTTGTTTACAGCAAAGGAAAACCAGTGTCCTCTTGGCTTATATCGAAATCCTCCTAGATTTTTCTTTACAAATCCTCATTTTGTACTACTAATTAATGTCCTACGTCATCCGCTGGACGCCACTCTCTTGTAAACTATCCCTTTAATGTTTTCATTCAGACCTGTTGGATTTTAAAGTTTGAATTGCATCCTCAACATGCATCAGTATCTTCCACCCATGTTTTGCTCTTTCTGTCCTTTCTGACTTCCTGTCTGCAGGTTTCGCTCCAATAAGTGGGATGTGTAGCAAGTATCGTAGCTGCACGATTAATGAGGATACAGGGCTGGGCCTCGCTTTCACCATCGCCCACGAGTCAGGACATAAGTACGTTTACTCATGCTTTCAGGTCCCACACTATTTCAATTTGGGAAACCATATGCTGTGCAACAAGCAAACATTTTGTTTGTGTTTGCTGGTTTCCATTGTGATAAAGGGAAGTTTATGCTGTATGTTTGAGATTTTGTTTTTTAATGACATCCGTATTTTGAGTCCTTCGGTGCTTTGGCACATTCTCAACATAAACTGAAACAAAATCTATCCTGGAGAACCACCAGGCTGATAACATGTTGTGGGATTTGTCATTCTCAGCGGTTCAAACATTTTGGTCAAATGAAATGGACACGTGCCTCCAATGTGCACAGTGTTTAGGGCAAAATCTTCACTGGCCAACAGTCGTTAATCACTCATTTATTGAGGAGTGGTCATTTATAAACACATGGCACATCTTGCAAACACTGCTTATGTCTGAATTTTGTGACTATAGTGCACATGTTTATTTTGATGCATTCATTAGTCTGATTGCCACAGGGCTGTTGAAAGTAAACATCTAAATGTGTGAATCATGTGACTTATTCAGTAGAGTAGAGATTATCGAAGGGTTTTGTGGGATGAAAGAGCTTTCAGTTGTAGAGGTAAAGTCCCACCAGACTCATGGAGTGGTTTCTGTCCTTAGGTTGTGCATTAGGGTAAAACTCACAATCTCCTTCTCTCCCTCTTTTGCTCCCTCCATTTTTTTGCCCCAGTTTTGGAATGATCCATGACGGAGAGGGGAATCCCTGCCGGAAGACTGAAGGGAACATAATGTCTCCCACATTGGCTGGGAATAATGGTGTTTTCTCATGGTCTGCCTGTAGTCGGCAATACTTGAACCGATTTCTAGGGTAAACTTTCACTTTACTCCACAGAAAAAGTGTTTTTTTAGAAATGTATGTATTTTTACATTTTTATTGTAATATTACATTTTCTATATACTATAATATGTATTATATATAATTTTAATATATATGTTACATATATTTTTTGTTTATATATATATATATATATATATATATATATTGTGTTTATAGATAAATATGCAATATGTTGAAATGTATAATATGGTATGGTTTTTATGTCTGTTTCTGTGCTCATCTTTCTTTGCATGCATTTGTGTTCACAGTACAGCTCAGGCTTCATGTCTAGTGGATGAACCTAAGCAGATAGGCCAGTACAAGTACCCTGAGCAGCTTCCAGGTCAGCTGTATGATGCTGATATACAGTGCAAATGGCAGTTTGGCTCGAAAGCAAAACTGTGCAGCCTGGACTTTGTAAAGGTAACTCATAGTGTATAAAATATGCTATTAGGCATCTCTTCATAGTTGGAGTGCTTCAGTGGATCTTTATGCTAAATTAGTTTGAACACATGTTAGAAACGTCCAACAACTCTTGTTAAACAATTCAGTTTCAATCAATCCTTTTGACAAAACACAATGCCACAATATAATTCACAGAGATTGAGTTCATTTAGGGTCACAGATATTTAAATGTGCTTCAACCTGTAATGTTTGTGTGCGGAGACGTCATGGTCAACACAAACACACATCTGAGCTTTGGAAAGAAAACAGTCCACTGAGAGGAAACCCATTGCCTCAAAATCTACTCTTAAGTCTTCATTCACAGTCCATGGACAAAGATGGACAGGGCCCCCTCTGGCATCTGCTGTAGCCTTTAGCGTCTAATGCACACATTGATATGCAAATAGTTGTGCTTGGGAAATGAACATTGCGAGAGTCTATCTGTGGGATTAGCTCTCATGCTATGGACTTTCTCTTTGAGAGATCCTTGTTGCTTTTGTGCACTTCGGAGACCTTCTACGTGTTCTGAAAAAGTCTTAAACATCAACCTTGATGGAAGGCAGCTGTACATCTTAATTAAGAACGATTGTAGATTTTCTGTTCCCCCAAGCCATCCTGTCCTTGTCACAAAGTCGTTGAGATGCAATTAGCCGTGGGAGCTAGCAGTGTTAGCTACCCAATGATCCAGAGTCCAGTGTTGCTAGCTTTTGTAAACCATGTCTCTCTCTCACTGTCTGCCAGATGCAATCGGGCCGTCGGCCAGCAGTGGCCGGTCTCCCAACCCCTCATCACCCATTATTATCGTTGCATTGTGGGAAGAAACAAAATGCAACGATAATAGCATGTTTCTTTTGGGCAGCACAGTGATTGATTTTGACAGGCTTTTTTATTTGTTGGGAAAGTTGATTGGCCGTTGCTGTAGAAACAAGAGGTCGGCGTGGTGAGGTGCAAGCCAAGGAGGTTGAAGGGTTCCCAGTGGGTGTAGGCCCATTTTTGACTGTGCTCTCTGTGTGTTCGTGCCCACCAGGACATCTGTAAATCATTGTGGTGCCACAGAACAGGACACCGGTGTGAGACCAAGTTCATGCCTGCTGCCGAGGGCACCATCTGCGGACCAGACATGGTGAGTGAGTGCTTGTCTGTTCACCATTTCTCTGTCTGAACTCACTAAACCACCATTAAGGAGGAACACGAACTGACCAGTCTCTCTCGCCGTTTTTCTTCATGCACACCTGCAGTATTGTTCTCTGCTTTGTGTAAATGTTCCATAAGGACGGTTGGTCCTTTCCACTTGTTGATGGGGATGAGAGGTGCTGATGTGTGGGACTGTGTGGCTTGACTGGACCGAGTCCTGCTCTCCAGGTGTAATTCTGGGCCCCATCCCAAACCAGCAGGCTCAAGATCTTCTCGGCAGATATACTCTCTCCTTTACTTTACTTTTCCTCTCATACCGTCTCTTCTCTTTGACATAAAAAAATGAGTTTGTCAGATAGTAGTCTGCTATCTCCTCATCTACCACACAAACACTAATTTTGGTGGCTGTTTTGAATTTAAACACATTTCTATGCGTGTAAAAAATGAGTAATTATGAGACAGTGAGATATGAGCCAAGTCTAACATAAGAAGTAAAGCCACACTATGAGATAAGAAGTTGGAGCTGTGAAATAATATAAAATAATAATTACAAGAAATAGTCGCAAGATTGTGAGATATAATATAACATTGTGAGATATAAGTTTGTAATTGCAAGATATAAAGTCACAATGTGAGAAATAAAGAGAAAAAAAAAACAGACTTTCATACATTACTGACCAGTGTAAGATGTTTATTCTTTTTCTATTTCCATAATGCAGTGGTGCCGGAGAGGACAGTGTGTCAAATTTGGTGATCATGGTCCTACAGCAGTGCATGGCCAGTGGTCGGGCTGGTCCGAGTGGTCTGACTGTTCACGCACCTGTGGTGGAGGGGTCATGTACAGAGAGCGGTCCTGCAACAGCCCCAGGTAACCAAAAACTCAAAGATATCAGACACTGTGCTTCAGACTCATTCATGTTAAGATACTGACGCATTATAAATTTTTTTTGAATGAACCATCTATTATGCATTTGAAGAATATGGTTAAATTCAGTTTGTGTTTGTGTAAGAGAGGAAATCCAGATGAATATGTCGTCTGATTGCAAAATGACATTATTTTAATATTGTGCCCTGACCGGTTGTTAATGCTAATTAAAATTATCACTGCAGTAAAATGTTAATGGCACTTTTTCATTGCCATGAATGGTAGATTAGCTGTGAATGGGGGAAGCACATGTGTTTCCAGACCAACTGACCTACTGCAACTCCTAGATTACCCCCGAACTTTCAGTTTTACAAATGAAGACGTCCCCAAAGGGAGGTTTTTGGAGATTTTGTCAGGTTTAGCTCACTTTTGGGTACAAATTTGTCCCCAAAATATGGTTAAGTAGGTACACACACACACACACACACACACACACATATATATACACACATATACACATACATACATATACACATTCATACATATAAGTGTCTGCCAAATAGTAGATGGAGTATTTGTGCGTTTAGGTTCAGGTGCTTCCTCTCTGTATGCGGTGTCAGGTTTATTTGAGATTGGGTTTCTATAGACCACAGGTGGCTCTACATGTGGTTTGGTCAAGCTTATGGAGCATGGAATTGTGCTTCATCAACATTTGGCTGTCTAGAGCATCTTAACATATTTCTGTTGGAATAGGAAATATGTATAATGCCTTAGACAGCCAGACCAACATGTCTGACATGAACAGTTCCAGTAAAGAAAGAGAGAAAGCAAGAAAGAAACTATTCAAAGTGATGTGAGTTGAGGAGGAGAACTTCATTAATGCCCTGGAAATACCCAGCCCAAAAATCAGTGTGTTTGTTAAATTGGGAACATATGAAATATTAAATTGGGCACATGTGATCTATATTATCCATTGTGATCTCATACAAAGTGTTTAGGTAGATTTAAAGATTAGGTTGATTTAAAGATCCTTTACAGATGCACAACATTTGGAGAGATCCTGCTAAATGATTTTGGAAGCACATTGCTAGAAAAGAAAAGGCATTTCCCACTCTTATTGCAAGAAAGCTGTTTTCTTTTTTGTCCTGATTTAGTTGGTCTATATTAGTTCAATGGCGTCTGATCCACTGACAGAGGCTTAGGGTGCTGCAGCTGGGCTTGCTTTTAAGGCATAATTTGCACTATAATCTGATACGTTTGTGGAGGTATTAGCCTACATTTTCTCTGTTTTTGCTATCAAAGTCACCCCCCCTTCATGGTTCAGTAAAAATAAGACATGCTTTTCACACTGCAGTCAAGTGTGCTATGATCATTCTAACTGACTTCTCTTCTCACTGAGCGGCTGTTTACACATACAGTATTTATGAGGTGCAAACCATGAACATCTGCCTGCATTCTGCATGAAAAGCAGAGTTCATGTTGATCAGAACATTTGATCTGTATCATTTCACTCGGAAATGTTTCAAAAGAGGCATTTTGATGGACAATCTTCCCTTACGGCTCTCAGACAGCACCTGCAGTGGAATAGGTGTTGGTATGTCTTCTGTTTGTGGTGGTGATGTTCAAGGGGAATCCCCATTCTCATCACTTCAGTATAAGGTCCTCAGGAGACAGCTGTTGAAGCCAGCAGCATAAGATGTCATCTCACTCAAACAGCATTTATCAATAAATATGATCTGATAAATGTGCTCCCTTGACTTTATCCATACTCAGCTGGCAGATTTACAGGTACAAGTGTCTTTGATATGAATGTTTGAAAAAGACATCTGGCAACAGCGTAGTGGAGATGGTTGTTGATGGGATTGCCTTTTTGAAGTTTGTTTACTGTATAGGATACAGTGTTAACTAAGAGAACATGGGTAGCATTAATGCACCATTACCAGAGGCCAAAGTTGAAAGAGTAGGATGCATGTACAATCACCCTCAGGGCTTCGGAAAGCCCCTAACAAACAAACGATTAAATTTCATTGCATCATTGTTTGGTTTTGTTTATTTATATGTAGAGGGCTCTGTTTTAATGACTTGACTTTAAAGTGGATATCTAATGGCTAACAGTGTGGGCATAATGAGGGTTTGATTAAAGATGGGGGTCTTAGAGATGGGAGATGTATTGAGAGAGTGAGGTAGAGAAGGATGTGGGCCTAGGTGGGGGGTTTTGGGGAGATTCAGGCAAGCAGACAGACAGGGAGACCCTGTTTCCTCTGACGTTTGCACTTAGTACTGCTGTTCTGAGATTTAACATTCCCCAGCTAGGAAACTAGTGCTACAAAGTCTTGTCGACAAAGAGAAAAAGAGAATAATGCTCCCCTTTGCCAACAACTCTTGTGTGAAGTTTGGCATGTAGCACAAAATTGATTTGGGCACAGTTATTTCAACGTATAATCAGAAAACATGCACTTGGCGTTCTCCCTCGCCTCTCCTCTATCAATATCTCTCTGTGCTTTGTGTGTTTTTGTAAGTGCTCTACCATATGGGCCCATAGTACACTGTCACTAAAGCTCTAATAGGATCAGCCTGAAAACCTGCTCCAAAAACAAAAGCAGACGTGCACAAACAGCCCTCTGACAGCACTGTTAGACTATTGCTGATCTCACTGACTTCTCCTGAAAAGTGAGGCATAATTTTCCAATGCAGTATGTTTATACGCACCCATAGATCAAGGGTTCCCAGAGTTTTTCACACCAGGATCCACCTAGAGAAGTATAATCTCGTTGAGACCCACCAAAAACTTTTTAGCAAAAAAAAAAAAAAAAAAGAAAAAATGTTTGAATTGAAGTAATTGCCTATATAATTACCACACAACTTCAAAGTCACCAGCAAGTTTCCAACAAATCTTTTGATCTTTACTTCAGATTTACAAGCTGTAATCTTTTAGTTAGCGTAGTTTGTTAGGACCCGAGTATAAACACAATGAGGCTGTAAAAGTGCACTAGTGAGTAGATGAGTTTACTTGTTCTGCGTGACAACCTCTGTAGTCCTATTTAGCCACTTGTTAGCTACAGCCTTTTTTCAAGACACATAGAAGCTTAAAAAAATAACGAGTGGGGTTTTAATTGTTTTTCATGTTGTAAAATACGATGTAAAAATATGCTGAACTTGTGTTAACCACTGACCCTATTTCTGGCATTTAACCAAAAACCCATTGACTTTCACAGAATGGAACCAGAAGTTCAAACATGCTAGAATTTGCAGTTCAGTAAGTGAATCATATGTTGATTCAGTAGCCACTCTAATGGATTTGGTGAATTAAATCAATAAAGGTTTATCAAACCGGCAACTCAGGGTTCTTTTTAAAACAATTCAATAAAATAATCAACTCTAGAGTCTTTTGTTCAATTGGTCGCTCTGTATGTTTGCGTGCATCAGAACCCACCACCATTCTAGTCACCCACTTATTCCCACTCTGCAACCCACCGGCAGGTCAAGACCCACAGTTTGAAAACGGCTGTTCTAGACAATAGAATTATGTTGTCAGTTTTCAAAAGAAAAGTAACTTGTATATCTCACTATGTGTGTTTTCCCAATGCTTTCTCTGTTTGATCACTCACTGTACATGCATAAAGATGATGAGTGATTTTTAAGAGCACGTAGAAGGCTCATCTGTCCTCCCTGTGAGCGATTTTCTAACCTCAAGTGTGAACATGCAATAAAAAGCTAAAGGCCAGAGACTAAAAGAACAGGCACACACACACACACACATTGACAGGCCCATGGCGCAGTCCTTTGCTTTGAGGTCAAGCTACAAGAGGGTACCCAAGAGTCTTCCACTTTAAAACATGCAGCCATGCCGCAAGCATGCGTCCGCTCTCACAGCCTCAGTTACAGGAGCTGCTGGACCGCTTTTCCCTCAGGAAAGATGGTGACTGTCTGCTTCATGTGGCACTTGGAGGCATTCCTGTGGCATTGGGAGGAGGCTACCACTCTTCTCCAGCCTCAAGCTGCCTCAGCAAGACAGGGTGACAGTTCGAACACATTGTTCAGAGCCTGAGGGCTGACCATTTATGATATCCAGCCTTGCTTGCAAGAGTTGGCCATTACAGATTTCAGAGAAGTAAAGATGACTGAATGAAATTCCATGTTTGTCCAAGAAGGGTTATGTTAGTTTGGTGGTTGTTTTTTGCTAGATCAGCCAGAAAAATCCTATCACTGTTTATCAAGGTCAGCTTGTTGGTTAACTAGTTAAGAAAACATGGTAGGGACCATCCAAAACAAACCATTTTCAACTAGGTTTCCTATTTGACTGCAAGCAAGTCGACTCAGATAACACAATGTGTAAGGTACATCAGCACAGCTGTGTGCTGTCTTATTCTCGTTGACGTTTATTATTCAAAAATCATAGCTGTTGAAAACACAGGCGAGTCCAAGTCATGAATGGAATTGTATTCAAAGCACTTAATATCTTTTACAGCTGTCAGTTGGGATGTGATTCAGTCAGACACATCACCGATAATGCACAAAGACATTCCCTTAGTGCAGATGCTAATGCACATCATATGAAATGCATCTCACCAGCCTCTCTTCCAAAAAGTACTGAATGACTGTCATTTCTCTCGCATGTTGAATGCTTGCTGAGGCACATCTGTTTCTTCTTTTCTTCTTGCTCTCTCTCCTTGCTTCCATGTTCACTTGTGCTAATTGCTGGTTGTTTCACCCAAGCCCACAGCACAACGGCAAGTTCTGCCAAGGCCCCGGTCGACTGTACCAGCTGTGTAACACCAAGCGATGCCAGCCCAATGAAGTGGACTTCAGAGCTCAGCAGTGTGCCGAGTACAACAGCAAACCCTTCAGGGGATGGTACTACAAATGGAAGCCATACACCAAAGTGGAAGGTATGGGAGATATTTGGGCCTTAATGCATTCATTACGAACAAAAGCAAATGTCTCATTAACAGTTTGAAGAGAGCACAGTAAACCTCTGCTGGGTTCAAAATCCCCATGCGTCTTCAATTACTGGACGAGCGAGACTCACACTTAAAAAAAAAAAAGAATGTATAATAAATGTATGAGTTCAATCACATTTTAAATTAAATTAATCTAATCTAATATATAATATAATATAATATAATATAATATAATAATGTACATTACCATTCAAATGTTTGGGGGCTGTAAGATTTTTTAAAAATGTTTTTGAAAAACAAAGAAGATATACTCTCTATACTCACCAAGGCAGCATTTATTTAATCAAAAATACAATAAAACAGTAATATTGTTAAATATTACATTTAAAATAGCAGCCATTACTCCAGTCTTCAGTGTCACATGATCCTTCGGAAATCATTCTAATATGCTGATTTGGTGATCAAGAAACATTTCGTATTATCCATGTTGAAAACAGTTGTGCTGCTTAATATTTTTGTGGAAACGGGATACATTTTTTTTTCAGGATTCTTTGATGAATGGAACACTAAAAAGAACAGCATTCATTTGGAATTTAAAAAAATATATATTAAAAAATATAATAATAAACTTTTGAACGGTATATGCTCCCTTGTCTGACATAACTAACAACAAACTTCTAAAGAACATTCATCTCAGACCTTGCCTGCTTAGTTTTTAATGTTTGATATCTGAGTCAGCAAGAACAGGTGTGTTTTTAAATAGTAATCATTCTCATTTGTTTCTGACAGTATGTATTGAGATTGTTACATAGGACAAATATATTCCATCCAAGCGATTCATCTCACCTAATGTGTGTTGACTAAGCTGTGCATGGATTTGGACTGGAAACATGTATCCACTCGTTCTGTGAGAGCAGTGCACTGATCAATCTTGTAGGCAGGTTTGGACCTGAATAGGACCCTGTTTGTGTATTTGGGCTTTCTTATGAGTTAGTGGACTGGGAGTGAAAAAGGGAAAGGATAGGAACAATTGGGTACTGTCCTGTAAGATTTTTTAAAACTAATGAGAAAGACCTGAGAGGAGATTCTGAGCTGTCTCCTGCTAGAAAGTCCTCGTCAGTGTATCCAGGGGTTTCAGTGGGGTGAATGGAGCTCAGTGCTCAAATCAGTAGGTTGTGTGTTTCAGTGGCTAGTACAGGTGTTAGGAAACACTTACCCCTATTTGACTGGGATTTTGGAGCTAGATCAAATTGGATAAACCACTGACATGTCCTGTTGTTAAGTTCCACTTGGCCTCCTCTTTACTTTTAGGTGCATTATTCAGAATTAAGCTTTTATTGTTCGGTTTACTGTTGTTTAGCTTTCCTTTCAGCTACAGCTGTAAGTCTGTAACAACATCATTTGTTTTCCTTTGAAGTATAAGCACAATAATTATGATCTAATATGTTCCAAAAAAATCTAACAGTTCATACTGAGCAGCTATATCGGATGAGCCTGGATCTGTGTGTGAATGCAGATGCATCTCTGATAGGTCCATATTTCAATTGCATTGTGTCTGTTAGGAATAAATTATGCATGAAGTAATTTATGACGTAATTGAATTTAATAAAAAAAAATGAATTTTATTTTTTATGCATATGTTGTATTTTTTGTGCATATGTTCCATAGAATTGTTTTCCATACATACAAGTCCACCTGCATTTTGTCTGAAAGATGTTCACAGGATCATTGCTCCATATGTCTTCATGCATGAAACTTAATAGCAGCGCACTGAGAGGACCAGAACACCGCTTCAGAAGATCTAACATAAAATCACTCTGAAGCTATAAGATCTAATGACCCCATTCATCTCCTATCTAGAAGAGGACATCTGTAAGCTGTACTGCATTGCTGAGGATTTTGATTTTTTCTTCGCTATGTCCAGCAAAGTCAAAGATGGGACGTCTTGCTCTGACTACAAAGGAGGCGTGTGCATTGATGGGATATGCGAGGTACGTGAGGAGGTGATGATTCTGAGAAGGTCATCACATTTACCACGGATTTTACAATGTTTTTTTGTGTGAGAATTGCTTGATGTATGCCCAGTTGGCTAAACTGTGTGTGTCAGTTTGAAAATTTCATTTTAAGAACTTTTCCTGTGCAGCCGGTGGGCTGTGACCAGGTGTTGGGATCAAAGGCTGCTTTGGATGCCTGTGGAGTTTGTAAAGGAGACAACTCCACCTGCAAGTTCTACAGTGGCCAGCACACCCTCCAGCACAGAGCCAACGGTAAGGTGCTTGTAGAGCATGTTCCTTTCATACCTTCTGATCTTCTCTGACAAATCCATATTTTGAAGAGAGTCACAGGCTTCAAGAGAAAGAAACAAGGAGTAAATCATGATAAAATAGAAAAATGTCTAAAGCAATGGTTCTCACCTGAGGTGGTTCTTAATTTTATCAGTGTTGAAAACAGTTTTGCTGCTTAATATTTTAATGAAAACCGTGCTAAATTTTGAATTTAGAGTTCAATTTATTTTAACTTAATTTAATTTTTTTAATTGAAATATTTTGTAACAGTACTGACCCCAAACTTTTGAATCTTTCACAAATCTGCATTTTTTGGGGGGATTGAACACTGGAGGTAATTAGGTGGTATTTGATTTGATCAAAATAGTTTGGAACTAGCGGTCTTTAATAAAATATAATAAAAGATCACAGAGAGTGAAATAAGAGAAGAAAAAATCCTTGCTGTATGAGCAAGTCTTTCACTTTATAGCTCCTCTCCTCAGACTTAACAGAAAACTTCAATGTATTTTTTAGAGCACTTACACAGCAAGAGCTCTGCAGTCTGGCACCTCATTGCTCTCCTCCGAGTGAAGGAGGTGATAATGCATCAACTCAAAGATGCCTGTTCCCTCTGGCCTTTACAAATGCAGAAACTGCAAAGGTGAGCAGACATGGCAAACCTATTTTCTCTTTTTTTCCTTCTCTTCAGAATATTACCCCGTTGTGACGGTTCCTGCTGGAGCGAGGAGCATCAGGGTACAGGAGATGGAGATCTCCACCAGCTACCTGGCTGTCCGCAGCCTGAAGCGTGGCACCTACTACCTGACGGGGGACTGGACGGTGGACTGGCCTGGCAAATTCCAGTTTGCAGGCACTACGTTCAACTATCAGCGCTCTTTCAACCGGCCTGAGATCTTGTACGCCACAGGCCCCACTAATGAGACCCTGCTCTTTGAAGTAAGTCACCCCTGTCCCCGTCCAGCCTGACACCTGTTAGCGAATTAGCCATGACAGGGTCTTGGCAAGAGTGCCGTGGCCATTCTGTCAGATGAAAACAAGGCTGAGGGACAGTGGGTGAGCGAGAGAGATGAGAAACAAATGAGGGAAAGATAGAGAGAGAGAGAGAAGAGAAGGGACACAAATGAGTCGAACGGGCAGACTAACGCCTCTGTTTGGGATTAATTGCAGGCCAGAGCCGACGTGGTCATTGCGACTTTCATCTTCAGTATGTGGAGATTCGAGATCAAACAGTGCGACAATGTGAATGGCACTATGCTTTGAACTCGCTGCACTGTGTGTTGTGCTAATGGGCAGCACAGGGCACCGCTTACATGAAGGGTGATGAGTATGGGTTCAGATGTTCCTTTGAGGTTAAGTCATAGTAAGGGCGCTTCATATATCACAAATCCGATGCAGGGATAAGAGAGATAATTCGATTTCAGAAGGATCATTTAAACCTTTTATTGCCATTGTGTTGTACTGCAGTAGATCCGTTCTGAGGGCTGATATGTAATGTTAAGTTTGCTATTGGAAAGAGAATTTGCTAATCCACGATGCAGCATTATTTCTATATTGCAGTTAGAAATAGATGTGTTGCCTCCAGGCCAAGAAAAAACATAAGAAAACAACTTTTATGTCAAAAGCTCAGGAAAACAGCTTTTTGCTTACATTGAAGTAAGGGAAAATTAATAAGATCTTGAGATCATTTTATGTCAAGCTCACAATAAATTTAGTCAAGATTTTAAATAGATGTTATGTCTATGTTATGTCAAAATCTAGAGAACCTTAAGTTTTGATTGTGACAACACAAGACTAAACTGAAGAATAATGCTGTAGCATCAAACAATTCAATATTAATGCTGCTGCAATCTGTATTGTAACCATCATAAAGTTATTGTAAAGTTTGAATGAATCATTTGAACTCCAAGAAATAATAACATGATGACATGTTTGGATGGCTTCACTTACCAGTTAAAACAAATGCAGATCCCTTATGTCATACTTCAAAATGTTTCTTGTTACCAACACCTCAAGCTGTTAAACGTCTATTTGACCTTGATACTATTGCAGGTGTTATTGTGTAAGCTGTACAAAAGTTAGGTATGCTTAATTTAATACACTTTCATTTTGATCTTATTTACCGGCCTTTGATCTGCACCGCACTCAACCTGTGCTTTACGTGCATGCCGCATTCCCCTTCAGCACACATGCCCTCTCTTCATTACGTTTCCCCAGGGTGGGTGGTGGCGGTGGGTCTGATTTGCAGATGAGTTGGCATTAATCTCTCTAAATATGCTCTGTAATTTCAAAAAGAAGAGTAAGGTAGAGAGAGATTAAAATATTTCTGCAATTGAACTCAGTAGATCAGAGAGGCTTGGGGTCGCGGGAAGCAGCTGGTCAGTTATGCTTGGCTGGATCTCTCATTTTAATGGATAAGTATCAGCTTCAAGACCCTTACTGAACGCTTAGGAAAGTGCATTTTGAGAAATGCGAATGTAAATGTTGACATGGTTGCAGGGCTTTTAATCGGCTCAGCAAGGTGGATTGAGAGGCACTAGACGAGACATAACAGAGCAGTTCCTTTCAAACTTGACGTGCTTCTGATTTAAACACTTTTTTGGGATTTAATTAAGTATTGACATTCTTGTGGCATGTCTTAAGAGGGTCATGCCAGTCCAGAGTGATTCATTTAGATGTGCTCCCATTCATCAGTCTTTCATTCACTTGTTTCTTCTTGACGGTAGGAACTGCTACGCTTCTAGCCAGGGCACAGATGGATTTTTGTGTAGTAACCCTATACTGGGAGTGCTTGATAATGAACCTGTCCTAGTAGTCCTGTAGTTTAGTAATTACCCCAGATTTTCCGTCATTATTCAGAATGACTAGAGCGAAAGAGGGGCGTCTAGAGCTAGAAGCAAATCAGATGAAGTTTCATTGCAACTTAAAACAAAACTAGCATAAAACATAAAACAAAACTAGCTTTTACAGTATTTGGATGGGGAAGGTTGTTTTGCATGTTGAATTGATGTTTAAAATTGTGATTCTTGTTTCATATGTTAAGACTGAAACTCTAGACTTCCTATATCAGAGCGCAGACATGGTGCAATGGACTCATGTGGGTCTTGACCCTGGATCAGAAGAGGTAGAGTTTCCCCATGTGTTGTATCCATAGTCAGTATCCATCCATAGTGGCTAGCTGGATCGCAGATGGATCAGAGACCTTCTCCTGAGCCTGATTCTGGAATAGTTGCTCTGTGTTCAGTGCCAACTGTAAATCTGGACCAGCTTTGAACAGGCTAGCGTGCAGGGTCTCACAGACCGCTTTCAGGGCAATAGATTCAGCCTGGACACTCAGAGGGAGAGTGAGCCAAGATACAGTATGTTAAAAAGTTTGCTAACTTGCCACTGTGTTTCAGTATACTTGTTTTACTTCCTCTGGAAATCCTCCAACCTTCAAATACCGCCTTTGTTTGATTCGCACAATATCTTCTGCTGTTCTGTTGATAGATTCTTTCCTCCTCTACAGGTCTGGACTTACTTGAGTTACTTTCAGTTAGTAGTTCTGTCTCAACATTCACCTGCATCTCATTGAACATTAAACATGAATTCACATTAATTCTTACTTCTACATCCGAAAACTAGCTTTTACAGTATTTGGATGGGGAAGGTTGTTTTGCATGTTGAATTGATGTTTAAAATTGTGATTCTTGTTTCATATGTTAAGACTGAAACTCTAGACTTCCTATATCAGAGCGCAGACATGGTGCAATGGACTCATGTGGGTCTTGACCCTGGATCAGAAGAGGTAGAGTTTCCCCATGTGTTGTATCCATAGTCAGTATCCATCCATAGTGGCTAGCTGGATCGCAGATGGATCAGAGACCTTCTCCTGAGCCTGATTCTGGAATAGTTGCTCTGTGTTCAGTGCCAACTGTAAATCTGGACCAGCTTTGAACAGGCTAGCGTGCAGGGTCTCACAGACCGCTTTCAGGGCAATAGATTCAGCCTGGACACTCAGAGGGAGAGTGAGCCAAGATACAGTATGTTAAAAAGTTTGCTAACTTGCCACTGTGTTTCAGTATACTTGTTTTACTTCCTCTGGAAATCCTCCAACCTTCAAATACCGCCTTTGTTTGATTCGCACAATATCTTCTGCTGTTCTGTTGATAGATTCTTTCCTCCTCTACAGGTCTGGACTTACTTGAGTTACTTTCAGTTAGTGGTTCTGTCTCAACATTCACCTGCATCTCATTGAACATTAAACATGAATGCACATTAATTCTTACTTCTACATCCGTAATGTAAAGCATATATTCATGACACTAAATTGAGCCCAAGTTTGGCTAGTAAAGATTTTAGATAGTTTTAGCTAAACCGATAATCTGACAGAGCATTGAGACTGGTTTATTGTGTTTATTGTGACTGACTTAAGCATAATCTTCCCACATCAGCAGCAGCCTGCCACACACTTCCTGTTCAAAACATTAACTGAGGGTAAATCCATAGTAATTAGAGGATGGGTGGCATCTGCCTAATCCACTACTTAAGTTCGCACCCTTACTTAAGAGAAATTTGGGCTGCCTTGCAATTACTGTTGGCTTGTGTAAACACTGCTGCAACTCTCCAGTGACCCTTAAGATTCGATCCTTGTTTAGCTGCTTTGTTTATACATATAGTTCTACATATAGTTTGGTGGTTTACCAGTTCCAGTGAATTTGGTGTCATTGCATTTTTTATTATAAACAGTCTGAGGAAAATCCCCATTTGGCAAAGTCTGAGTAAAAACAAAGGCCCTCTTCTTGTCAGATAACTTTTCCACTCCATTAGAGTTATCCTCGAGCTGTCCTCAGTGGCCTTGGGCACAGATTTAGTGAGGAACTGGCCGAACTTCCTCTGTGGTCGAGTCTCACATGACTGAGTACAAGATCTTCTCCAGGAACAGCCACCAAAACTATAGCATACAGACCTACTGAAACATAAACATCAATGTAAAACTTACTGGGAAATAAAGTCTCACAGTACACCACTATATGAAAATATTCAGATTCACCCAACCCACAGTTTGGTCCACTTGTGCCGTTTTCCAAGCTGACAAGCTTCAGTTCAAACACATAGACAGTCTAATTCAAGCATCCCTCCAGATCAGCGTCACACTGTGGTGTCATCTCTCAATCCCAGTGGAGCTACAGCCACAAAACAGCAGCAGACACTCTGGCAGCTTCTTCCTTGCTGGAATATGAGAAAATTAACAAGAAAATCAGCACGTTTGCATGCACTTTAACAGTTAAATTTCAGTCAGTTTTTAAAAAAACATTGTATAAACAGCTGAAATCATACCAGTCCAGTTTTTGCATATTCAAACTAACAGATCTAGAGAATGTGATTGGAGTTTGACTTTGTCCAGCATGTATGTATGTTAATCGGACTCAAAGTGCTTTGCTCCCAAAGACAGAGGTGATTCATGGTGTGTATTTGAATCCTTCACATATTCGATTGTTGTTTGTTTTATGTCCACTACTGTTCAAAAGTATGGGGTTAGTAATATATTTTTTAATGTTTTTGAAAAGAAGATTCTTATGTTCACCATGGCTGCATTTATTTGATCAAAAATAAAAGTAAAAATTAGTAAAAGTAAAAATAGCTAAATTGTATTTCACAATGAGTTTTTGCATTATTACAATTTAAAATAACTCTTTTCTATTTTATTATGTTTTAGAAGATAATGTATTCCTGAGATGGCAAAGCTGAATTTTCAGCAGCCATTACTCCAGTCTTCAGTGTCACATGATTCTCCAGAATCCTTCTAATATGCTGATTTGCTGCTCAAAAAACATTTATTATGTATTAATATTATCAGTGTTGAAGATAGTAAAATGGTAATGTGTTTTTTAGGATTCTTTTATGAACAGAATGTTTGAAGTATATTTAAAATAGAAATCTTTCATAGCATTTTGAATTGCATTATTTTTTTCATCAATTTAATGCATCATTGCAGAAAACTGCATCCTTGCAGTATTACATTTCTGTCAGTTTCTTCAAGCTTTTGAACAGTCGTGTATACTTGAATAGACAGAAGCCTGTTGCTTGATTGTTTTCACCAACCTATGTCCATCTCTTCTCCTCCACAGATTCTTCTTCAGGGTAAAAATCCTGGTATTTCATGGGAATACACTCTACCCCATCCTGAGAAGAAGCACAACTACACCTGGTCTGTGGTGCGCTCTGACTGCTCTGCGCCTTGTGCTGGGGGTGAGTTGATGCGTATGTACAGTAAATGTTTGCTTTGTTGACTCAAGTGTGAGAGAGCAGAGTTTCTGTGGTTGTGTGGTGTGGTGAGGAAGGAAGTGTATGTGTGTATTTGTCCAGGTCCATCAAACACTTTTGTGAGCTGAATAAAAAACAAAAAAATGTGGGCCCCTCCTTCCTCCAGACCTCTCAATCTCATTGGCTTATCTCTGTGGTAGTGGCTCCTCCATTCACAGTCAGCTGTTTGAGTGTTGGTGTCAGACAGACAGCACTATGACATGCCCAGAGCACAGATCTCTATCTGCGCTCTCACACAGTTTCATTCATGCTTTTCTTTAGAGCAGACCTCTGGGCCTCCCCTCCTGGCCTCTCACACTGACAGAGGCCCGGCTTTGTTTGCTCAGAGGATGCATTAGTTTATCGCATGATTAAGACGTATGTTAGGCTGGATTAGAGAGATGGATTTCTGCAAAATGTCCAAAGAGAGTAGTTGTGTTTATACTCATCTGTATCTCTCTATATCTCTTTCAGGTCGGATCTCGACGAAAGCCATTTGTTTGCAGGATAAGAACACGCAGGTCAACTCTTCACTCTGCAACCCTGAGACCAGACCTGTGGTGGGCTCTCACTTGTGCAACACACAGCCCTGCCCTGCCTAGTAAGAGTCTCTCTCTGTGTGTGTGTGTGTGTGTGTGTGTATGTTATTCTGTCTGAATTCCTTGTTCCATGCTTGCTTCTCTCAAGCAGGGTTGGACACAACTTAGAATTTAAGAAATAGCTCCATTTCAGTCATTGAGTTCAAATTTGAATTGCTTACACCAAGCACAGCAGTTGAATTGGAAGTTAAATAAGAAAGAAACAATATATAAAACCTGCACATAAGACTTTAAAGACCTTTTAAACTTCTTTAAAGTCATGATATAATGGAAATAGCAACAGATTGTGCTTTTTTCCAGATTGTGACACATCCTTTTGAGACAGATTAGAAAAGAAATCTAGGGTGGGTACTTGGTTCTGTCAGTTGGTTGTTTATTGGTTGGAGGCAGATCTGAATGCAAGCTTGCAATTGACTGTAAAACAAAAATGGGTGGGTATGTCACAATATGGGAAAAAATATATCTCACTAAAGATGATCAAATTATGACATTTACATTAAAAATCATGACGTCAAAAAAAAATTTGAAAGTATGAATGAATCATGCACAATATGATCAACACCATGCATTTAGAAAACACATTTTTGAATTTTTATTTCATGCTGATCTCTGATCTCATGCTGGTCTAATTTTGTCTTTACCAAACTTGTATTTAAAAATTTATTTAATTCACATTTTATTTTAATTCAACTTCCTTAATTTCAAACCTGTTTGCTACTTCCAATCAAATTCAAAAATTGAAATGGAATATAAAAAGCATTCTCAGTTTAATTCTCAGTGATGTACAACCTTGCTCTCCAGCGCTATTGGTGGGCACAGTGCCCTGGTATGTCTGTCTGAAATCAGCTGTGGTGGCTTTAGCTTGAGCAGAACCCAGCTTAAAGCTCTGAGAAATCACGTTCTTCCTTGGGTTCTTTTCTCTGTTTCTTTTCTTAAAGAAAACAGGATTAACATAGCCTCCAGACAGGGACTGACTGCACCCTCACTGCCCAAACTCCAGCTCCAAGCCACAGCCTGCCACACACGCACCTCTTAAATTATACAAACTCAAACCCACATACACACCAGCTTTCATAATAAGGCATAGAGACACATACAAATACTAGTTTCTCGTTCTGTCTTGTATTTTTGTTGACTACAGTGAATTACTACTCAAATATTCCAAGAATCGAAGCCATATTTATTGAAGTCTCCCACTATATTTACAGTGAGTGTTATGAGTGAAAAGGATAAGTGTTATATTTGGAAATGAGGAAGATAAATGGGAAAAAGGCACTTTACAGAAGTCGGCGAATGAATTGGATAGAGACATTGTACTGTGGGTAAAACATGCTTAATGATCTTTTTGCATGGACAAAAAGAGAAAGAAAAGCAGGGACCATCTCACTAGGGACCCTGGGAAAAACATTCTCAGTCTAGGTGTCAGAAACCTCCTCGGGGCTCTGGAGACTATGAAAGGAACTGCTCAAAACAGCCTTTCTCTGGGTGTCTCAAAGCTGAAGTCAATCTGCCGGTCCATCTTCCTTTTGAGAGTCCTGCTGCCATTCCTACAAGAGCAACACTCAACTTGACTTGATTTACTGATCTCTTGCCTTACAGAAGCATTTACATACCCTGCATCCCTCACTATAACAAATCACCTCTCCTGGCTTTCTTCCCTCCGTCCTTCTCGCTCTCTCTTTCTCTTTGGCCTTACGTTGTGTGAAATGTTGGCTGCGAACGATTATAATGTGCGGGCTATGGCGAGGCAATGCTAAAAGGGGAAATCAAGACCATATGATTATTTCCTTACAGCAACAAGCTCTAACCAGTTTGGCTTGTCCCATTCAAAGCCTGACAAATAGTCCAATAGTGTGTAATTGAAAACAACAGCAGGGTTGACGGGAGAGCAGCGTGTCTGTGGCAGTGCTGGATATGTCGAGACAGACTGCACAGGTTCCCATCACTCACCGCCAATGTCTGCCTGTAACCCTATGACACTTTAACTTGGTGAGCAGAGAGGCTTTGATTACCAGTAGAGAATACCAGTGATCCCAGACTCCTTCTGTTGGCGTCACAGCTCAATTACATCACCATCCTGTGGGTCACACAATGAGTTAGTTACTCTGTCATACCTGCATTGGAAAAGCTATTAAAGGGATAATTCCTCCAAAAATGAAACTTCTACCATCATTTACTCTCCCTCATGTCATTTTTTTTTAAAACCTGTATGACTTTCTTCTTCTTCTGCAGAACACAAAATAACATATTTTGAAAAATTTCTGTTTTTTTTCTGACAATGAAAGTGTTGTTTTTGGACACATTTACTTTCACATATGAATATCTTCAAAAAATATCTTCATAATATCTTCTTTTGTGTTCCGCAGATGAAAGAAAGTCATACAGGTTTGGAACGGCATGAAAGTGAGCAAATGATGACAGTTTTCATTTTCATCCCTTTTTAGAGCTTTTCAAATATAGGTACTATAGGTAAATATAGGTTCATGAGATTCCCAACATTCAGAATGGATTTTTTTTTCTCTCGGTGTAGGTCATACTGTAAGTGTGTTTATTGTTCAGACAGACAGGTCCTAAATCCCACAGTTACTAATGACCTCCCACACTGTATGCAGAGCCGAGCCTGTTTCTCTCCATACTGAATGACATCACGGCCTTAAGATATCGACTTCAGACTCCCGGAACATTATTTGTTTGAGGCATTATGTGCTTTGATTTATGACTGCTGAAAAGAGGAAAACTAAAAAAAAGGTGCAGGAAAGGGAAAATAAATATCCTTTGGAAACACTTCCAGAAAAAGTATGGGCATGCATTCAAAACAGGAGAGCAAGACAGAAGCTTCTGCTTATCTTTCCAGCAAATATCTTCAGTGTTGACAGGTCTGCCCATGTTTTATTATGGAGCAAGAGAGACCGCGTCCCTGTGGGGATTGAGCGCGTCTAGCCGGCAAGGAATCGAGCGCTAATCTCCGTACTATGGCCTACAGGACTCAGTCTGACGACTTGCTTCCGGCTGAAAATGCTGCCCTGCTGCTTCTGTGGAGCGTGGAGCGCGGTGACTTCAAACAGAGGCTGGGCCCAGAAGCGGCCAGCTTGATTTGTTCCCTAAAATGTCATGAAAAGATAAATGTGCATGCCTTAAATACTTTTGCAGTGCCCTCTGAATATTCCTTCTTTTCTTTTGGTTTATTAGTTGTGTTGCATGATTGTGCGTTTGCTTTTCTGTTCAACCGACATTCTTCAAAGCGCAGACAGGAGTTTTTTTCTTTTCTTTACCAGACTTTTGTACAATCGACCACCTCACATACAGTATTATTCAAAAGTTTGGGGTCAGTAAGATTTTTTTTGTAAAGAAATTATTTTTTATTCAGCAAAGATGCATTAATAATTGCATCAATATGCATTGATAATAAAAAAAGCAACAGCTGTTGATAATACATTGATAATAATAAGAAATATTTCTTGCACACCAAATCAGCATTTTAGAATGATTTTCGAAAGAAATTGAAAAGCTTTGCCGTCACTGGAATTAATTTGATTTTAAAATAGAATAAAATAGAAAACAGTTATTTAAAAATTTTAATAATATTTCACAATATTATTGTTTTACTGTATTTTAATAAAAATAAAATTACAGCCTTGGTGAGCATTAGAAACTTTCAAAAACATTAAAAAATCTTACTGACCCCAAACTTTTGAACTGTTGTGTACATGATCACCCAAAAAGACTACTGTAATGAATAACAATATCCAATATCATACAACCAAACATAGCTAAAGTGGTTAGAGCACATGCTTTGGTCTGTTCAAAAAGTAATATTTTTAGCATAAAAAAATGCAAAATGTCACGTGGGTTTAGGAAAGTACATGGTTCTCTTCGTGCTCTTAAACTTACAAACGCATCCAAACCCAAACCATTCCTCAGAGAGCACTAAAAATTCAGTCTTTGTCCCATGGTACGACCAACAGTAGCTTAAATTTCATTGAGTGATTTGGAACAAGTATCTATTATGGGTGCATCATTCTGGGTAGACATGGAGAAAATGCCAGCGATATCAGACCGTATCCGGAAATGTGAAGCAGTCCACAGTATTGCCCCCAAAGATATGTCTTCTTTAATTGTATGGCTTGAAATATGCGAGTTATTGAAAGATTCCAGAAATACAAAATTAAAGCAAACGCCAGCAGTGGTTTGGAGTGAGGCACGGCAAGTCAGCTCTTTGACCAATGACACATTGTCATTTATGTGGCGAGGAGAGGACGAGGGGGAGTGAAAAGGCATATTGTGCTGTGGATCTTGTTTCTTCCCTCAATTAAAATAGCAGTTTAACCATCTCCCTCCGATTTGTCAGATGGCTGGAGAGAAAATTAAAGGATTTTTTCTCAGCTCCATGGCTCAGGTCTGTGCAGTGGTTGGGTGGAACTGGGTCGTCTAAGAACTCGACCTGGGGTGTCTGTCCGGTGTTGTGGCCACAGCTCTCGTCATAGCTGTCATTTGCTCTAATCTCTCCCCGGCCTGCCACAACTCTATTTTAAAGCCTCTTTTCATCCACAGCCAAGAAGAAGCAAGGATAGAGTTGCAATCTGAGCACTGGAACCAAGCTTCTCTGGCAACTAGTGATGATTTAAAAAAAAAAAAATTCTTTTAGACATAAATACACATTAAATTTAGTCTGTATTTTATCACGTCATATCCATTATCTAAAGTCAACAAAATTGTTCTAATAAAGATAATTCTAAAGTCAATAGAATTATCTTTAGTCCACAAAAATAACATCTTATTTGATGGAGGAGTGCATAATTAAACCAAATATACACATATTCTACACTACTGTTTAGGGTCAGTAAAAGTTTGGGGTCAGTAGGATTTTTTTTGTTAATTTTTTGAAAGAAATGCATATTTTTATTCAGCGAGGATGCATTACATTGATCAAAAGTGAGATTAAGACATTAATGTTACAAAATATTTCTATTTTAAATAAATGCTGTTTGAATTTTTTATTCATCACAGAATGCTGAAAAAAAAACTATCCACAAAAATATTAATCAGCAAATATTAAGCAAATTGTACTTTGTGTTGCGAAAGTCTGAATAACATGTGAAATAGAATATTCTGTATATTCTGTATGCTTTAGTTATTCATTGTCCGTGTTTTAATGTGCTGATAAATCACATACAGAATGCGTTTGGATGAGTTCGTCTTGTCTTTGTTAATAAGCACAAAGCGTCCAAAGGCTAATTTGATATTTTATGAGTATTGAGAAGGAAGACATTGATTCATGCCAACTGTTGATACTGATTAATCTATTAGAGAACCTTGAAATGTCTCAATTACTTGCCATCAGATATTTGTTTTGTAATATTTTGTTATGTGCATAGTGCAGAATTAGAAATTGTATTTATGAACTCAAGATGTCTGCATCTCTTGATGCATCTCTATAAACATTTGAATTCTTAGGCTGGAAACTTCAATGTAAAGGATAAGTGCATGTTTGTATATGCCCATATGAGCCCACAGGAAAGGGTGCGGTCGGGTGGGTGCAAACACATGTATGTGGTATCTTCATTAGTCTTTCCATGTGTGTTTCCAGTGTTTCCATGTGGTTTAGAGAGTAATCATATTGGTCATAATCTAATGGCCATCACATTATGTAGATTTTGTTTGAAGAAGGCCATGTGTGTGTGTATGCGTCTCACGTGTCTGTGCCATATGGGTGTAAAATGTCCTCTTCCATGTTAAAATGTGATGAAATGTTCAAACACAAGGTTCACATCTGAAGGTCAAATTGTTTGTCTTGACAGTTGGACGACAGGTAAATGGGGAGTGTGCAGTAGAACATGTGGAGGTGGGCAGCAGACGCGGAACATCCGCTGCATGAGGAAGGTGACGTACCAGCGGGAAGAGGTGGCGGCTCACTCCTTATGTCCAGTAATGGCTCCGGCCCAACTACAGCCCTGCAACACACAGACATGTCCTCCAGAGTGGAGCACTGGCTCCTGGTCTCAGGTATGTTTGCAGAAACATGCAACCTACATAACATTACCTCCATCTGTTTCTTTCCAGTGGAATTAATAGGATGTCATCATCAGGTGTGCAACTACCGTCAATAGAAAGAATAAATCTTTTGTGACATTATTAAGATTTCTTGATTAGCAAATCAGCATATTTGAATGATTTCTAAAGGATCATGTGACACTGAAGACTAGAGTAATGTCTACTGACAATTCAGCTGACCCATCACAGGACTAAATTAAAATTTTAAATATATTTCAAATAGAAAGAGTTATTTTCAATTGTAATAATATTTCACAATATTACTTTTTTTTTTTTTTACTGTATTTTTAATCAAATAAACACAGCTTTTATGAGCGTAAGCAATTTTTTTTTCAAAAACAATAAAAAATCATACTGACTCCAAACGATTAAAGTCGTGTATGAAACACAATAGTCACAGTGCAAAATATTTCATGTAGATTGTGCTATTCTTTTGTAAAATCCCAAACTAACAAATGCCAGGTCCTTAAGAACACTAGCAGTTGATTTTGTCTCATGTCATGTTTTGTGGTATTAACTGGTTTGTCTCACTTTAAAACATTCCATCGTGTTTGATACATTTACAGAAATAAGTATCAAAATTTCAAAAGATGCTTTCAAAATATTAAAATGAACTTCAAGTTAACCTCATGTACAATAAACCTAATATAATCTAACTCTCATTCTTTTCATGAGGCTAAAAAAGGGCCATTTTAGATTTGACTTTTGTTCCTGTTCATTTTCTTGCCATTGTGTAAATAATCAATGAATAAAGTTTAGTTTTCTGAGCTTGACCAGAACATGTTTCTGAAATTCTACTATACCCTTTTATAGAAATCTTTCCCTAAATTACAACACATGCGTTTTACGTTTTGAAAAGTGACCAGAGTATGAGGTGAAGGCTTGAGATGCCCAAAACAACATAATGTAAAAACATTCTGTATGCCACATCAGTGCTGAAACACTACTGCCCCCTGCTGTTATTGCACATCTAGCACATTGTGCTCCATCTGTCTTACTGTTGCATTGCTTTCATTAAGAATCTGTTCTGTATGTATTGGACTTCTGAAATGACCACACAAAGTGTCCTTTCTGAAACCTTAGTGTTGTTGGAAAGTGTTATATTAGATAAATGACTACTTTATACATGGTTTAATCTAATATTTTGTACTAACTTTTGCTGTTGCTACTTGTGCATACTTGTGCATATATTTGTGTACTCTGAACTTTATCTTTCCATGAACACACACGGAAGCCAGAGAATGCTGAAACACATCGGCAGAGTTCATTTCATCATTAGCAGCAATGCTGAATTCTTTAACCTTTTTTCCAGTCTAATCTTATGTAATATGTTAAATCATAAATCTTTGAGAAGATTTTGCAGTAGTAGTTGATATTGACTAAATTCCTCCTAAAGGTCAGGTTGAGTTCGCACAGCCTGTCTCCAGAGTTCATATCAACTGCTGTTTGAGGTGAAATGCATGCTACTGTGACCTTTACAATGTTTAAACTAACATCACTCAAAGACCACGTGAGGGTAACTCTCTCTCTCTCTCTCCGTGTTTGTCTTTCTTTCCTTCCTTTTCTCTAGTGCACTAAGACCTGTGGGCGAGGGTTGAAGAAGCGTAGTGTTTTCTGCAGGAGCACTAATCCAGGTGCCAGGGCTGTGGTGGTGCCTGACAGCATGTGTAAATTACACCTGAAGCCCAAAGCCCAGGAGACCTGTGTGCTGAGCCGCTGCCCCAAGAATGAGCGTCTTCAGTGGATAACTACCACCTGGGGAGAGGTAAGGCCCCTCATAGGAATATCCGATGTTATGTAGAAGAGCTCACACAAACAGTTCATATGTAGCACATGCATATATTCACCCATTTAATCCTGATGCAGAATCATGGGCATGTTAAAGAGACGTCTTCATGCAAATCTCATAATGCTAAGTGATATCCATATCCAGTCAGAACGAGGTGGGGTGGTTAGGACCAGAGGGGTTACATCTGCATGCAAGCCATTGAAGCCCTGATATACTCATGTCAAAGTTATTTTTTGTTCTTCAGGTTAAGGGTAAAAAAAAGTTTGAAATACCTTTGCAGTGATATACTGTTCATCCTGATGATGAACGTAAATATGTGCTGCATGCTTTTATCAACACACAACAAAAATGACAGCGGTGAGAAAACAGCAGTTAAGAAAGCATCTGATCATAGCGATGTGGATATGTTTGCACAAGCTATGCAGTTCCAGTCAAGTCACGTCATATTTATATAAGCGTTTTATACAATAGTTCGCTTTACAGCAAGCAGCTTTACCTTATTAAACATGAAACACAACATTAATGTCTCTTTCAATTAGAAATACTACTTAAATTTCAGAAAGCAGCTCTCCAGTGTGTTCATGTTTTTACTTGCGTCTGATCTCAACGAATTGAACAGAAGAAATGAACCAGAGAAGTTTTCCATGTCAAAGAAGTCATAGTTCGAAGTTGTTTACTAGCAGTTTGATGGTGTTTACTACAAGCTTTTTCAAATTCCCAAAATGAATTCCAAACTAACTTCGTTTTGGCCTGATTTTTTTTTTTTTTCAAAATGACATCACACCAGTTCTTTCTTCAATTTTGCTTTAAATATTAATTTACGTATTTGCTTTTAAGTATTCATTTTTACCCTAATTTACAGTCTGGAGGGGTTAACGCTAGTTGCCAAAAATCAGCAGATTTAAGTTGACAGATTTCACTCAAAATCGGCTTAGTGTATGATGGACTCAGATTTTTAGCTTCAGACTATAAATCCAACCAGTCAGAGTATATAAAAAATGTTTGATGTTTTGAAACGATTTTAGAATACATGTTGTTTTCATTTATCATGATTTTGCTAGCAAAGAGGCTCATTTTGTTGTTTTCGAATCAACTTGAAAGTCTGGTACTGTGTGATCCTCAGTCGTCTAGTGTATGATGTCCAGTTTTTCCTCTGTAACTACACTGAACAAAATTATAAACGCAACACTTTTGTTTTTGCCCCCATTTTTCATGAGCTGAACTCAAAGATCTAAGACTTTTTCTATGTACACAAAAGGCCTATTTCTCTCAAATATTGTTCACAAATCTGTCTAAATCTGTGTTAGTGAGCACTTCTCCTTTGCCAAGATAATCCATCCACCTCACAGGTGAGGCATATCAAGATGCTGATTAGACAACATGATTATTGCACAGGTGTGCCTTAAGCCCCGTTCACACCAAGAGCGATAACTATAAAGATAACTATAAAGATAACGATATTAGCGT